CCTGTCTTTTAACCAATTTCTGATCCAGGAGAGGACCTTCCTTCTTATCACATGACTCCTTACTTTGCTTTAAGAGCCTTTGGTGAGGGACCTTGTCTAAGGCTTTCTGAAAGTCCTCATACAACATGGGCACTGGATCGCTCTTGTCCACATTTGGTGACCCCCTCAAAGAATACTAATGCAGTAGATTGGTGAGACATGATTCCCCTTTACAGAAGCCATATTGACTCTGGTCCAACATATCACATTCATCTATTAGTCTGATAATTCTGTTCTTTACTACCAATTTGCCTGGTACTGGAGCTAGGCTTAGTGCCCTGTAATTGCCAGGATTGCTTCTGGAGCTTTTTTAAAAAGCTCATTGCATTAGCTGTCCACTAGTCATATGGTAGAGGCAGATTTAAGCAATAGGTTACATACCACAGTTAATAGTTCTGCAATTTTATATTTGAGTTCCTTAAGAACTCTTGAGTGAATACCATCTGGTCCTGGTGATTATTACTCTTTAATTTGTATATTTGTTCCAAAAACTCCTACACTGGCACCTCAGTCTGGGATAGTTCCTCAAATTTGTCACCTAAAAAGAATTGCTCAGGTGTGGGAACCTCCCTCACATCCTCTGCAGTGAAGATTGATGCAAATAATTCATTTAACTTCTACACGGTCTTGTTTTCCTTGAGAGCTCCTTTAGCACTTTGATCATCCAATGGCTTCACTGATTGGTTGGCAGGCTCCCTGCTTCTGATGTACTCAAACAAAACAGGAAGAGGACCAAAACAGTGCCATCATGACTAAACAGCAGAGGAAACAGATGTGGTTAGAAACAAAAAGACATGTTTTAAAAATTGGAAGTCAAATCCTACTGAAGAAAACAGTAGAACAAACTCTTGCAAATCAAGTGGAGAAGTATAATTAGGAAGGCCAAAAAAGAGTGTGACGAGCAGCTAGCAAGAGAGACAAAAACTAACAGCATTTTTTTAATTTGAGGTATAAACATCTTTTGAGCCTCTATCTTAGTGTTTTTTAAAAGTTTGCATGCAATTTGAAGGCATTTCACTCCTCTGACTGTTCCTTTTAATTTCCATTTATCCTCTTCATTTTTGTTTAGTTCCCATTTTCAAAATGCTGCTGTGGTGGGTATCTTTGGTATTTCCCCCCTACAAGAATGTTATATTTAATTACAGTATTGGTGCTATTGCTAGGCAGTTCAGCTAAATTCATCTCTTGGACCAGATCCTGAGTGGGGCCGGCTCCAGGCATCAGCTTAGCAAGCAGATGCTTGGGGCGGCCACTCCAGAAAGGGGCGGCAGATCCAGCTATTCGGTGGCAATTCGAGGAAGGGTCCCTCACTCCCGCTCAGAGTGAAGGACCTCCCTTTGTAGATTCCTGGACTAGCTGCTACAAAAAGAAATCATTAATGATATCTGAACACCTGACTCTCAAATGTCCATCCAGATGCTCTTCGAAATAGCGTTTCAGAATCTAGTTTCCCATTTTTATTCTAAACAGAAAGTTATTTTATTAAAAGGTACTTTTCTAATTGTAGTTTTTCTAATCCATAAAACAGAAGTGAGCACTATAAAACTTATATTGGTAGCTTTTCGGTAAATTCTGGAAGCCCACATGTGCAATACCAATGTTGATAAAGGAAATCTTGTTTCTCTTCCTGCTGTGTTTTATAATTTCTGTCTGTGTCTCTCATTGATTTTCTGTTGTTCCTACCTGTGGTTGTGTGGCTCTCTCATTGTGCTGTCTCTCTGGAAACAGGTTGACAGATGGAGAGGAAATTTAGCACTAATCTCCTGCACAGACGTCATTTGATAGCTAGGTGGATAGACCACAAAGAGCAGTGGCAGGAGACCCTTCGTTACTATATTTCACATTCTTAAGCAATTGTACTCTGCAAATGGGCATTACAGAAAATTTGCTCAGGGCTTCATCATTCCACTCCCTTCAATGGCTAGTCCACGTGACCCTCGCCCGCTGGCTAGTTCTCCATATGTGGAGGCACAGTGGCAGGAGGCTTCTGCCTCCTTTGCACAACCCTGAGCTCTGCATAGAACAGCAGAGATCTGCTCAGGGTGGTGCCAGCATTAATCTTCCTCTGTCCCTTCTTCCAGCAGTGGGCTAGTTGTCCACCAGCCAGTCAAGTTGCCCTCTGAATAAATAAAATATTGATTTGTTCTCCCCTTTAAGAGGGGTATTTACTGAAATTACTGGTATTTTAAGTGTTTATCTGCTAACTAGCCATAAAACATATTTTATTTGTCTAATAGCTTGAAAGTACAGCTCAGAGTGTCGCAGTCAAGCAGTGGATGAATGGTACAGTGACTGTAGATAGCACTGTGGGAAAGGACACCTTCTTTGTAGTTACATGGGATCGAAGCACATCTCCACCTGACATTTTACTGCGGGACCCCAAAGGAAAAGAATATAGAACATCAAACTTCACAGTTAGTGATCTAAACCTCCGAACAGCTCAACTGAATATAGCAGGCACTGCAGAGGTAAAGACTAAACTTTGTTTTATTATCCAAACATGTTAACATTTTCATAGACTAAAATGCACCTTCTCTTTTTAGAAGTTATAAACATATATTCCTAATGAACTAATTTTATCCTTGGTGTAACTCCACTGACTTGCAATGGAAGTTGGGTATCTAACTGTTGTTTGTGCTCTTCCTAATTTTTTATTATGCTCTATACACATCCCAAGTATAGAAGACTGCCAGACAAAACATCGAATTCTGGGGAAGTTAAAGTTGAGAGTACATATCTATAATATGCAGGTTCCAGTCCTTTCAAGAATGTGATAAGTCTCAAACATCCACCACTAAAACTGAGCAAATTCGGATATAAGGTTAAATTTAAAAGAAACCAAACATTTGAGAGCACGAAGAATCACAAATAAGGTACCCAAATTACCTTAGCTGTGGTCCTCTAGCAATACCCTAACTGCCCTTTGTGCCTTGGAAAATCTCCCCTAAACTAAGATAATCATTAACTAAGGGAAACACAAAGCTGTCCTTAAACTAATGAAGTCTTATATTATATGTTTATACTTCATATACTTGGTTTGCAGGTGGGGGATTGGTTACATTGGATTCAAAATAACCACACAGAATCTCAAGTCATATCAATGATAGTAACATCTCGAGCAGCATCTTTGGCTGCGCCTCCAGTGACTGTGAAAGCCCAAATGAACAAGGATACAAACAACTTCCCTAATCCAATGGTGATTTATGCAGAAGTTAGTCAAGGATTTTTGCCTGTTCTTGGTGCAACCGTGATGGCCACTGTTGAACCACAGACTGGATCTGCAGTGGAGCTCAGACTCCTTGATGATGGTTCCGGTAATCTGATTATTACTTTCCTTACATTTTTGTCTACCCATTTTGTGGTATGTATTTTAGAATGTCTCTGCACGTTGCTTCCAAACTTATCACTAAGGGTTCAGTCATGCCTATGCCATGAGCACAGAAAGGGGTAGCAAGTGGAGGGAGATGGTAACTCTGGTCTCCCCCACTGCTTCAGGATGAGAGTAAACTGCAGTGGGTCTAAACTGGTGCAGTATGTGTGCCCTGACATGCTGGTGCACTTACACGGTTGGGTGTATTAGGAAGGAGGAGAGAGAGAAACTGCGCCCAAGAAGAAGGGAGTGTTGTGGTTGTGCAGAGCGTTCTCCCTCACCTGTGCTGTTACCACTGATGCAAATAGCCAGCACAGGGACAGAAGGAGGTCTACTGATTCAACCATATTCACTGTTAGAACTTATGTATCTTTTACACACTGGTCTGCCCTGCAGAGGGGATGCAGGTGGCAGAACAGGAGAGCAAGAGTCTGTTTCTATAGCTTGTCACATGCTATAGAGGCAGTATAGCTATTTTAAAAATATCTCCTTTGAAAGTATGAATTACATAGATTATTATTCTCCTTTTCCAATCTACTGTGCCTACAGAGGTGATGTGATTCAAATGCACAGTTCTGTTGTTCTCCAACTTCTCCATTATCTGAACCATGTCATGGAAACTGTAGACTCTCTCCTCCCCACATTCCAGCATTGCTTCAATCTCAAAGTATTTTAGTCTGCAGACCACCAAGAAGGGCTCCACACATCAGACGACTATGGTGAACTATTAAGAAGCAGTTGAGAACTACTGGCCTATTGGTTACTATTGGAAACAACAGTAAATACACAGTAACATGTTTTAATGCTACATTGTTATCTCCAGTTAAATATCTAATGAGCTCATGTCCCCACAATGGGACCGATCCTGTTTTCACCTAAGTCCCTATCAAAGCTCTTCTTGATTTCAATAGAAGAAGGAGTAGGCCCTATGTGTTTATGAACTGAACAGCACAAAATGCCCTTGCTTAACCAAGGCACCTTGTTTGGATGGTTAATTATTACTATTTGTATGCCTAGGTGCTGATATTATCAAG